ATGACCTTTTTGAGAATGAAATATTTCAATTGCCTTCTTAATAACTATAACTCAACAACAGATATAAAATGAGACTGACCCAGAGAAACTAGACATATGGTCATCCTATCTAAAATTTATCACTGTCCCCACCAAGAAGCCCTCTGAGTTCTGCATTGTTTCTAATTACAACACAGTACTCCTAGTATCCATTACATTTAATTTTCTAGGTACAATATTTTGTCTTTTGCTAGATAAATTTTTTTTTGAGATGGGGTCTTGCTCTGTCATCCAAGATCAGCAGCATAATCTCAGCTCACTGCAACCTCTTCATCCTGGGTTCAACCAGTTCTCCTGCCGCAAACTCAGAATACCTGGGATTACAGGCACCCACCATGATTCCTGGCTAACTTTTTGTATTTTAGTACAGTTGGGGTTTCACCATGTTGGCCAGGCTTGTCTTGAACACCTGACCTTGTTGTCATCCACATGCTTCAGCCTCCCAAAGTGCTGGGATTACAAGCATGAGCCACTGCCTCTGGCCAAATTTTTTCTTTTCCAAAATGTATTACCTTCACCCCATTAGTGATTTGTACTTCAAATACAGAATATCATAAAAGGATCCTAACTTGCTCTGCAGCCTCTATTCTCTTCCTACCCCAACGAATCATGCTTACATTGCCATATTATTTTATTTATCATATTTTTGGGGAAACTGAAAAACTTACAAAAATCTCTCAATGCCTATAGATTACATATTAAATTTTCTTATTTTCATTGATTAAAACTATTTGATAATCCAGCCTACATTCACCTTTTTGGCTTTATTTTTTATTACCTTTTACTTTAAGTTCCAGAACATGTGCAGAATGTGCAGGTTTGTTACATAGGTATACATGTACCATGGTGGTTTGCTGCACCTATCAACCCATCATCTATGTTTTAAGCCCTGCATGTGTTGGGAAAAGCAGCAAAGGAGAAAGGACTTACAGAGTGACTACATAAATTGGTTATGAGTAACATATAAACAAGGAACAACAAACTGTGAAAGGCTGCAGGAGGCCTCTGAGGAGGAAAGCCTCTTCATGCCTCATGTTCCATTGCAGGGTGATCTCGGCTCTCTTACCATAAACATTGTGCTCAAGGACGTAAAACCCCTTCATAGCACTACGTTGTAGCCAGACTTGTAGGCTCCTTGTAAGGCCCTGTTCCACCAGCTGTGCATAGATAAGAAGCTAAAGATAACCACATGCTCTTGCTATGTGAAACTCCTGAACTTCCACTGTTATCAATCCTTAGGATGATATGCCATATCTGGCTCATTGATTCACTTTTGGTTCACTGATTCATTCCACCATCACTCCACCCCTACCCTGTAGATCAAATTGAATGTAACCAATAAATAGTGTGGATGATCAGAGCTCGGGGCCTTCACTGTCTCCTCTAGTAGTGAATGATGGCCCCTTGGTCCCACTTTCTCTCTTAATCTGTCTTTTTCTCATTCCTTTGTTGCCACCAAACATGGGGTACCCATGGGTGATGTAGGGCTTGTTCCCTACATCCATGCATTAGGTATTTGTCCTAATGTGTTCTCCCTCCACTTGCCCCCAACCCACCAGACAGTGTGTGTTGTTCCTTTCTTTATGTCCATGTGTTCTCATTGTTCAACTACCACTTCAGAGTGAGAACTTGTGATGTTTGGTTTTCTGTTCCTGCATTAGTTTGCTAAGAATGATGGCTTCCAGCTTCATCCATGTCTCTGCAAAGATTATGGCTGCATAGTATTCCATGGTGTATATGTGTCACCTTTTGTTTTTTCCAGTCTGTCATTGATGGGCATTTGAATTGGTTCCAAGTCTTTGCTATTATAGCGCTGCAATAAACACACATGTGCATATGTCTTTATAGTAGAAAGATTTGTACTCCTTTGGGTATACATCCAGTAATGGGATTAGTGGGTTAAATGGTAATTCTGGTTCTAGATCCTTGAGGAATTGCCACACTTTCTTCCACAATGGTTAAACTAATTTACACTTCCACCAACAGTGTAAAAGCGTTTCTATTTCTCCAAGGCCTCACCAGCATCTATTGTTTTCTGACACTTTTTGTTGTTGTTGTTGTTGTTTTTGGAGATGGAGTCTCACTCAATAGCCGTGCTGGAGTGCAGTGGTGCAATCTTGGCTCTCGGCAAACTCCACCTTCTGGGTCCAAGTGATTCTCCTGTCTCAGCCTACCAAGTAGCTGGGATTACAGGTGCATACCACCACTTCCAGCTAAGTTTTGTATTTTTGGAAGAGACAGGGTTTCACAATGTTGGCCAAAATGGTCTTGATCTCTTGAACTCATGATCCTCCCACCTCAGCCTCCCAAAGTGCTGAGATTATAGGCATGAGCCACTGCACTGGGCCCTGCCTTTTTAAAAATTGCTATTCTGATTGGCATGAGATGGTATCTCATTGTGGTTTTGGTTTGTATTTCTCTAATAATCAGTGATGATGAGCTTTTTTTCATGTGTTTTGGTCACATAAATGTCTTATTTTGAGAAGTGGCTGTTCATATCTTTTGCCCACTTTTTGATGGTGTTGTTTTTTTCTTGTGAATTTAATTTCCTTGTAGATTCTTGATATTAGCCCTTTGTCTGATGAATAGATTACAGAAATATTTTCCCATCCTGTAAATTACCTGTTCACTCTGAAGCTACTTTCTTTTGGTGTGCAGAAGCTCTTTGGTTTAATTAGATTCCATTTGTCAATTTTGGCTTTTGTTGTAATTGCTTTTGATGTTTTAATTGTGAAGTCTTTGCCCATGCCTATTTTCTGAACAGTATTGCCTAGGTTTTCTTCTAGTTTTTATGCTTTTGGGTTTTACATTTAAGTCTTTAATCCTACGCCCTATTACATTTTTTTTTTTTTATTTGCTGTTCCTGCAGTCTATGCATCTGTTCCTAATGTTGCCATGCCAACATAGCTTGACTAGTCCCAATTCCACAGTTTTGTTTACACCATCTTTAATTCCTGGTGAAAGTATTGAGGAATTGTCTCATTGTCTCAATTAGAAGTAATTTCTCTCTTTCCCCAAAATTACTGTAGTGTATATTGCATATAACATGTCACACAAGTTACTTTTTACTGATACTGTTACTTTTTAATAATGTGAAGCATCTGAGATCAGTAATAATTTTAATGTCTTCTTATGTACTTTTATCTAGTGTTTATTGAATCATTATGCAGATAATAAAGACAGGAGAAATTAAAGTGAACAAACAAAATAACTTTAATTAAATAGGAAGTGAAAAAGCCAGTTTGTACTCAGTATATTGCTTACTTGAGGATAGAATACACATCAGAGCTGTACTGCATGCAAATCCAAGCTTGACAACCAAAGCTGTACAAAATAAAATGGCTTTTCTGCTATCATGAGTACTCACATAAATAGTTAGAATTAACTCAGGAATTGGAGATGAAATAGTGTAAAGTGAAGATCAGTAAAAAATGTTAGTAGAAAAGCAATCATATGTTCTGTCAAAAAAAAAAAAAAACCTTTGAATATTTAACAATACCGAAAACAACAGTACTTCAAAATAAAGACAATTTTATTTTTGGTAAAACAATTTCTAATCATGATATGCTCATTTTATGGTAATATATTTTGTCAGCAAAGGATTGGTAATGGTACACTAGCAGCTAAACTGAGAGAACCAAATCTAATTTTCGAGCTAGTGTTCCATTCGCCTATTAGCTCACGTACAGATGAGCTGATATGTTGCAAGAAAAATCAATGATGCATTTGGAAACTGCATTTTAGCTGAAAAAAGAAGGTCATAACCTGGAAGGTGAGATTTATAGTAATAAAGATTAAATATTAAGGTTAATTTTCAGTTTTCCCATTGGCTTAGTGGATAAGAATATTTAGAAGGTGGTAAGAATATTATTTCCTGGTAGGAATATTACATCTGATTTCATATGCTTCCATGAACAAATAAATCATGAGATGTAATGCTTCAGTTCATGCAAATTATAGCAGCTGCACATTCTTTTTCTTACTAAATCCTAAATGTAAAAAAGTGAAACTCTTTTCCTAAGGGGAATTTTCTAGAATACTATTAGATAGTATTGGTCAAAGGCTTTTTCAGTACTTTTATTTAGTGATACTTTAAAGTAAGTGTGACTGTGACCTCTTTGAACTCACTCCTCACAATCCTGTAGCCACTACAGCATAAGCAGAGTTACAGAAAAAGGAAGCAACAATCGGAGGTACTCTTGGATACCTTAGGAACTTACTATTAAAATATGATTTCAGAAACAGTAACTTTTTCCATTTTCACAGAAAAATCTCATAATTTGAACACAGCTACCATAAGTTATAATAAAGTATTAATATCTTTTCAGCTTTTAACTATAATAGATTATTCTAGGTAATGATAATTATGTTCCTCATAGAATAATATTTCATTGTTTTGTAAAGCACTGTGTAGTGGTGATTACCTAAAATTCTTCTATTTGCTCTCTAAGCTTTTGAGTAGTATAGTTAACGTTTGAACAATGCAGGGGTTATGGATGCTGATGCAGTTGAAAAACCACATATAACTTTTGACTTTCCTGAGAGTTAACTATTATATTAATAGCCTGATGTTGACTGGGAGCCTTACTGATACCATAAACAGTGAATTAAAAATATCTTGTGCATGGCTGGGTATGGTGGCTCACGTCTGTAGTCCTAGCACTTTGGGAGACCAAGGTGGGTGGATCACCTGAGGTTAGGAGTTCGAGACCAGCCTACCCAACATGGTGAAACCTTGTCTCTACTAAAAATACAAAAATTAGTTGGATGTGGTGGTGCATGCCTGTAGGCCCAGCTACTTAGGAGGCTGAGGCAGGAGAATCACTTGAACCCGGGAGCAGGAGATTGCAGTGAGCTGATACTGTGCTAGTGTGTGACAGAGCAAGACTTTCTCCCTCTCTCTCTCTCTCTCTCTCTCTCAGATAGATATAGATATCTTGTATATATATATTTTTTTTAAACAGGGGACAGTGCAAACGCAGTTCCCCACAAATTATGCAGCTGAGTTTCCCACATTTGGGGAAATCACAGGGTCAGCATATCCGGAGTGCAATGGATAAGCCTCGACCTGGGAAAACCACCTTGGTGATCATGGTATCTCCCCTGCCAGGTAAGTATGAGCTCACATGGCTCCGCATGTTTTATGTATTACATACTGTCTTCTTACAATAAAGAAATCTAGAGAAAAAATGTTATTAAGAAAATCATACGGATGAGAAAACATATTTACTGTTTGTGAAGTGATAGTGGATCAACACAAAGTTCTTCATGCTTATCATCATGTTGAGAAGACTGGGAAGAGGAGGGAGCGGAGGAGTAGGAGACCTGTACAGTTCACACCTGTGCTTTTCAAGGGTCAAATGTACTTTTAAAAAATTGACATAAAATTAACTATTTTAAAGTGCATAATTCAGTGGCATTTAGTAAATTCCCCACATTGGGCAACCATCACCTCTGTCTCATTCCAAAATTTTACATAATTCTAAGAGAAAACTATATACTCATTAAATAGTCACTTCCCATTCTCCCTCCCTCTATCCCCTGGTAACCGTCAATTTTCTTTCTGTCTCCATGAGCTTACCCATTCAGGATATTTCATTCATATAAATGGAATCGTATAATATGTAGCCTTTAGTGTCTAACTTCATTCACTTAGTGTGTTTTGAGATTCATCCATGTTGTAGCATACATTACTAAATCGTTCCTTTTTATGGCTGAATACTATTTAGTTTTGTGTATATACTACATATTAATTATCCCTTTATCTTTTAATGGACACTTGAGTTGTTTATATTTTTCAGCTATTGTGATGAGTGCTGCTATGAGGATTGAAGTAAAATTCTTTGCTTGAGTGTCTGTTTTCAGCTCTCTTGGGTGGTACCCTGCTTTTCCAGGTCATGTTATGATGACCAGTCATTCTGCTTTGCCAAGGGTTTCCTAAAACACAGACCTGTCAGGGCAGAAACGAGGAGAGTTTCTGGAAAAACTAGGGCAATTGAACCGCGGAAATCTTTCTGGTTATATTTATATGGAATCATTTATTAAACTGAGAAACAGCCCCATAATTCCTACTGCTTAGAGGCTGCATCACATCACAAACTGGTCTTACATTAGGGTATGTGTTTCCATAGTCCATTTCATGCTACAGACTCCAAAGCATCTAGCACAGTGCTTGACGGTCATCACTCAATAACAATTTTGGGAATCAAACTGCAGTTGATTTTAATGAAATTCTTAAAAAGTGTTTGAATAAATTTGTTGGTTAAAAACATGTGCTTTAAAGCCATATTCATGGGTTCATATCCTAACTCTGAAAGATATTGACCCAGAGAAAGTGCATTGCTAATGTTTTTAATATTAAATATTAGAGTGCTTGCATTAAGGAAAAGAGACAGCAAGAATAGGCAATTAGCTTTTCATATATAATTTATGTGTGTGTGTGTTTGCCTAACTAATAAGTGAAACATTTTACTTCAAATAATTTTTTTCTGGTATCACAAGGAGTATGTTAAAAGTTGTAGTTTTTAGCAACCCATGCTTACTTCTTTCTTTTTTTGAGAATACAAATATGTTGTATTTTCCAATGTTGAAAAAAACTTACTAAAAGTCAATATTATGATTAAAACCAATAATGTGATAGCATATAGAAGTCTAATTATGTAAAATATATATAATCCAGTAACCTAGATATGAAAGGTATTTGATTCGTTTGTTTCTTTGTGCTCACTCATCCTTATCAGATATATAGTCTCTAATGAAGATCATTTACTCATCACTTAATTCATCCTTCTTATGCAGGTTTAAGTCACAACAGAGTTAACCTGCAAAGGATGCGATAAGTTTTAAAAGCTATGTTTAAGACAGCATCCTTAGTTGGAAGTGTTTTGCCCCATTAGAAGATTGCACAAGGTGGTGGAACTAATGGAATGACTTGTGCTTAAAAAAAAAAAAATCCAAAAGGGTGATCATCTAACATACAAGTGAGAGACACTGTTGATGTTTATTTTATTTTTAAAATAAAATAGGGTTTGTAAGCATATGATGATAGTCCAAACATTTCCATATGTCCATTTTTTGCAATGTCAAAACCTGTGAAAATGCTGGAGAACCCAAAACACTGCCCTCACATGTGTATTGCCTGGCACTACCTAAACTTTTGAGTCAGATCCTCTTTTGCAGTCTGTGTGAGAGTGTGTGTGTGTGTGTGTGTGTGTGTGTGTGTGTAGATCTTAATGCTCTTGGCATAATAAAATCCAAATAACTTGAGGATCTGAAATAGAGATTATAAACTTGATTTGTATTTAGTACGTTGAGAATAGTTGCTGTCTCATTGCTAGTTGAAAGGCACTTGAGACCAATATTCAGTCTTTTTTGTTCTTTATATCCAAGAATAAAAAAGGAAGTTCTTTGGCATCAGCCTTTATTTAATTTTTATCTTGCTGTTGCACAACATATCTCTGAGCTGTTAATCTTTAAAAGTACTAAGAACATGTTTTATTTGTGGATGACTAGAAAAGTCCCAGAAACAATATTTTTTTAAAAAATGAAATGGCTTGACTGCCTTGCACTAATTCTTACAAAGTAGTATTCATCTCAGTTTACAATTCAAGTGCCAGGTTTCAGAACATTACATTTTGAGTTGCTGATATAGAAGTGCTCAAAAACTAGTTTTTTGAAGGGAAGCACGAAGACTTTAAACCACAGCACCATGATGCATGACACTGTAATCAAGAAACAATTCTTGATATGCATTTTCAGTGAGATTCTTTTATATTATACGGTTCCCTCAGGAGGAGAGGAAAGATGTTTCTCATAGAGAAAATGCCATGGCTAGTGAAGAAAATGTGTTTTACATGATTTGTAATTGCTAATATGATTCAGGTACCTGCCCCAGATGAATTTATGAAATAAAACCAGTTTTCTACAATACATGGTTTGAATTTGCTATCAGATCAGCATGTGGCAATGGAAGGTTATGTAAACTTTATATGATAATGACTATTTTATATATTTTAAAAAGCCCTGTTAATTATATTGATATTTTCTATTTGTTTTTGTTTTAAAAATCAACTAATATTTTTAATTCTGCAGAAGTTTTAATATGAGACTATGTAAGGTAAAAACAAGAGATTTTTATATGAATTATTTTACCAATTTCTCTTATTCTAATTTGGCCAAAATATAATATTTCAGCACCAATTCTTAAAATTCTGAACTTAAAATATGCTTCCAGATATATCTGTACAATAAGCTTAAATGAATTTAGGAATATTTCTAGTTTACTTCTAAGATTTTTATTTCTGAATATTTTTCATATAAAATTTCTCTCCCACTAGAATTTAATTTACACATGGGCAATGCCATTGTCTGAGTGCTTCTGTTTGAAGGCCTAGAATAAGTATGTAACATCACGGGTCTTTATAACTACATAGAGAATAGTTGAATTTATCTTGATGATGCAAATAACACTTCTTAAAGCATTTTCCACTAATATTCCTTAAAAACTATTTCATATAGTTGCGGCACACTCAAACAATGAACTCTCCTTCTGCTCTCTAAACTCTCTGACAATGACATTTTATCACATTTCATAAAAATAAAAACTATTAAAAATAGGTACCATTGCCTGCCTTTTACCAAATAAATAAATTTCCTGCATCTATACCCTTCTTCTCTTTATCCCTGGGTGTAATTTAATGGCGGGTCTTCAACGAGCAATGTAGCCCCTCTCTGTGTCCTCTGGGCTTTCTTACAAATTGACTTTTCAGGGATTTCAATATCATCAGAAGTATTCTGTCTCTTCCCAACTTCAGTCACTTAATTATTAAGATCCCTGATATTATTTTATACTACAAGAACATACCTTGCAATTCTTATAATGGGAAATAAAGCTAAAGGAAAAAACAAGATTAATCTCTTATAAGAAAATCTCTTTCATTAGCATCCTATCTTTCAACATAATTCATCAATCACGGTCCAGATATCCAAACAGATTGAAAATCAAAGGTTTATGTTTTATTTTTGTTTCATTTGGCTGGTCAAAACTTTATCCAATTTTGACTCACAAAAGCTTATTTGTAATCTTATCTAATTTAGCGTAAATATTCATGTATTTTGCTCCAGGAAGCTTTATGTATTTTTTAAGGTAATGTTTGATTTAAAGTGCTATGAAGAAGACACAAAGTGTTATGTATTAAACGTTTCTCCATGTTTCTGAAATATGAATATTTGAAATTCCAAAACATACTTGAGCTCCAGATTTTCACATAAAGAACTGTGGACCTGTCCTTTCATGCTTGATCGGGGTTCTCAAGATGGTTCCCTTCACACGCTATTTTCACTTTACTGCCTCCAATTCATCATTCAACTCATTCCAGCCTTGTCTACCAAAACAATTCTTGCTAAGGTAACATTTCCATGTCAACAAATCTAAAGGACATTTCCCATGTTTTCAAACACTAAACTGGGAAGCAACATTTGACTCAGCCGAATATCCCTACTTCCTGCAGTGTTGCTCTTTCCCTAGGAGTCCAGGCCACTCTTCCTTGTTTTGCTCCTTTTCAATCTTTTAAACAAGCTTCTCTGCCCAACTTCTGAGGGTCAGTGTTTCTTACAACATTTTTCTGTACTGTTCTATTACCATTCTATATTCATGAACACTGGGCATTTCATCCTCACTCTTGACCTGTCTCTGGAATAAGGATTCCTGAATGTATATAACAAACACTACAGCTGCCATTGCTATAAGCCCACATATCCGAGTCAGTTTGTGGAGTCTGTCTTGGATGTTTCATACACACCTCAAACATTTTCCTGCTTCAAATGTAATTCATTATTTTCTTCCTTTTTCCCTCATTCAACAGAATGACTAAAGGAAAACTATTCTTTATCCATTATTTCATTTGAAAATTTTAATTAGTACTTGGGATAGATAAGTGGAAGAGATAATTGTGGTCTCCCTGCATTGAGAAGACAGGATTGCTAAATCATACATATATATAGGTAAAAATAAATTATGTACTCTCATCTCACAACTGTTTATAAGTGGAATGAAGTAAAGTAATACATTGCTGTGGTAAAAACATCTCTCCTGATTTGGATCCTTATATCAGCTTTCT